ATTGACTAGGTGACGGGCTTTCCTTCTGCTGGGGGCCCGAGCGACCTCCGCACCATCTGTGCAATTGTGTTTTCATTTTCCACCTGCAGGTCTTAGATGACCATTCTCTAGTGTAAACATTGGTTTGGAAGCAAAGTAATTTGGGCCTTTCTGTGACATGAACCCGAGGTGGCTAGAAGGAACGACCAATGGCTTCATGCTCTGTCCCCAGTAAACCTGTTGGTGCGACCTTGAAGTTAACCTGGGTTCCTTAAATGGCTTGGTTTTCTTTAATGGTGGTGGTGGTGAAGTACCGTCGAGTCGGTTCTGACTCAGCGACCCTGTACAGGGTTTCTGAGGAGAGACTGGTTTCAGCCGCCAATCTTGTGGTTCAAGCCGACCTTGCGGTCCAGTGCTTTATCTCACAGCGCCACACCAGGTGGTAGTGTGCGGCTGAGTCGGTTCCGACTCCATGGTGACCCCCCCTTGGCTTTTCCGAGGCTGTAAATCTTTACGGGAGCAGAAAGCCGCATCTTTTTCTATTGGAACCTGTAGTACTAACGAACTGCTGATATTGAGATTGTAGCTCGACTCAAAACTACTACTCCACCGCTACCGCAGCTCCTGTTTTTCCTTCAGAGCGCTGTGGGTTAATGCGCCTGCAAGGTCATGGTTTCAAGCTTACCACCTGCTGCTCGGAAACCCTATCCAGGCTGCTATGCCTGCAGTCGGCTCGAGGGCACTTAAAAACAACATACAGGAAGAATGATTACCACACAGAAAATAAGGCCGCTATTATTGAACTTTGAATGTTACCAAGCACAGTTGGTGAACACAAAATTAGGAACACAGATTCCTGGCCTCGACCCTTGCGGTTCAGTGCTTTAGGAAAGTACTTGGGCTAATTTACTTTCGCTTTTTGGCCCTTGTGAATCTTTCACTGCAAATTGGCTTCAAAAGGTAGCTAGTGTTGTTGCAGTATGCACACTAGAAATAGACAGTCTTTAGATTTCAAATCCATGTTAATTGCCGTAGTATAGGATTTCCAAGGAGTGGCTGTGAACCACCATCTTGTGGTTAGCCGTCTGTCTAGTGCTTATCTTACAAAATAGATGTTTACATTTTTGTAGAAGTGATAATAGAGAAGAACTTATTACCGACAAAAACGAATTTTAAAAGTTAGTGAATTACCTCCTTGAAAGGTTTTTTGTTTCTTTCGTTTGACTCCTCCCCATATTTGAGATACCTTCAGAGCCAACTGTATGGTGATGTGATGGCCTAAAATAGATTATATTTGGTATTACTGGGTTTTCTTTATTTTTAAGGCCTAAGTGATTTCATTGCTAAGGTTTTCTGAAAATTTCAAATGCTAAAATATTGGTAACGAATGTAAGTCTGAAGCATAAAAAATACATGGAAGCAAACTCACCAAGGCAGTTGGAATATTGCCAGTACCATATTTCATCCCCTGCCTTCCATCCAGAGGTCACCAACTGAAATTTTGTTTTTCTCCTCATTGGGTACTTAAACGTAACTGGGAGTGGAAACAGTTTAATTCAACATTTATATCTCTATACGTTCATTTTCTTGATTTGAACTTTAAAAATATATAATTATGCATGTAGTTGACAATTTCCTTGAAGCATCTGTTAAACCAATAGTTTATATTCATTATATTTGATGGTGTGAAGTATTTCCTAGATTGTTTTGCATAAGGTCTGATTTATGATTTGTCTTCATAAATCATTCCCAGTGATGGCCTGGCTCAGTGATTTATCTTTTTGGGGTACATAGGATATGCTCTGAGGTTCTGACCATACCCTTTGCTGGTACCTGTGTTTAGGCAACTTTGGGCTTGATTATATAGGATTGTCCAATAGTGATGCCAACATAACATGTCCCAGAACTGAAACTACTAGATTTGCTGTGTTATGTTTTTAGGTGGATGTCTGAATGCTTTTTATATAACCTTTAACCTAGGTCATATTTCATCCTTGTTAAACTGAGGAGTGACTCGGTATTAAGAACATCCTGTCTAAACATCTGTACTGTCGCAGTGAGGAATATCATATTTACACTTTTTTTTTTTTATCAAGGTGTAATGACTGCCATTTCCATCTTGGAAAGATTGTGGAATTAGGATGCTCTGGGGCAAATATGGGAAAACTGGTATAATTAGGTACTTTTCTTAATGTCTTTTTCAAATAAATTTCTGGAAAGCAGTTAAAGGTTTTTGCTTTTTTTTTTTTTTAAAAAAAAAAATCATTTTGGAGAGATGATTTGTGCAATCAACCAGAATGACCAAAGGGAGTAACTCAAATCATGGCAGACTTTCACATTTGCGATTGCCAATTTTGACCATAAAATTAAATGGCAAGTTTATTCCTTTCTTCCAGTAAGAAATGCATTGAGAATAGTGGTTTGGGAGTTAAGACAGTTGCAAGTATGGTGGTTTATGGTTCCTGATAAGAATGAACAAGCTACACCTTTCATTAAGATGCAAGTTACAAATGAGAATTCACAAGGAAATATTTTTTACTTCTAGATGCAGTAGAGCTTGAGTTGTGAAGATGTATAAAGGTCATCATGATAAGTGTCCAAAAACTGTCACAGGATGGTTTTGAAAACACTGCTAGGACCACAAAGGAGCTCGGGTAGCATGACAGCTAACTTCAGGGTCACAATGAGTGAAACGGACTCCACAGTACTTAACAACAACTAGGACCACAACTACATCTTACAAGTGGAACCAAAATTTTGATGTAAGTTACTGTGTGCTTTTTAAATGTTTTGTATTTTACCTGGAGAACAATAGCGGAAATGTGTAATTTTTACATAGACAGGTTTAGTAACTGGCACTGTGATGAATTAAATTACTTTTTGCCGTTTACCCATCTGAGGGTTTCTTTGAAGAAAGTCTTGAAACTGAGGTGCCAGTCATTTACATTGAATATGTGAATTGCTATAATGTGTAATTGTTTATTCAAGTATGTGAAATGTCCTGTCTCTTCAGCCTATAGGGAGCTGTGGGTGAATGTTCCAGTCCTTTGCCCATGGTATTTAAGAATTCTTCATACCTCAAGTAAGTATGATTTGTCAAGCAATCACACCTTTCAGTAATAATAGACAAGTGTTGATAAGCTCCAGAGGGCTGAGGCCATTTTCTGTTAAAAAGTACTTTTGCATGTCGGGGGTTAGATTTCCTTTTAATTTGTTAATTTTTTAGGGGTCCTTAATGAGGTTATATGAGAACTTGATTTTAGTATAAAATCCTTTTTACTGTTTGTTTCTGACTTGTGGGGTTTTTGTTTTCGAGGTATGGCATACAACATTTGGAAAGGAGAAATGAAGAATTGGTCATGAAGACATGAATAGAAGCAAGTGAAGAAAATATTTTGACATTGATAACCTTATCTCATAATGATTATGTAGAGAATACATGTTTGGATAATATATTTTATTTGATGCACGATACAGTTTATGTTTTATTTAAATGTATTTCAAGTCTTTAAAACAGCTGTGTTCTTAATAGTCACTAGTCAGACACGTTTATAAGTGCTTTCAGGACAATGTGTGGTGATTCTCTGCAGAGGACCAGAATGTTCCATACTAGAGAACTAAAACATCCATATCGTACCTCCCCTTCAGAACCTGTTCTAGGACCTGAAAAAGAATTCATTGGAATATTCTGAAACATTCTCTTAAAAAGTTAGCTTTTTTAACTTAAATAGCTATTAGGTTTTATGTCAGTTTGTTGAATGAATGATTCTGTAATATAATAGTGAATGACTTGTCTGATCCTGGAGGGAGCCTAGTGAGTTAGTGGAAGAGCTGTCCATCTTTCTGGTTAAGCTCTGCAAACTTCAAAAGAAACGAAGCATGATAATATCTTGTTAATACAATGGCAGTTTTGTAATGACACTTTTAATGAGAATTAAAGTTTTAAAAAGTGAAAACATTTTGTAAGAGTGGTATGTTTTCCTCAAGATGTCCCTGCCTTCCAAAAAGGAAGGCTATTTGGTTCCTTCCTTCTAGCCAGTTTGATTTTAATAGCCAATTTGTTCCTTGAATCAATGAAAGTGAAATAAGTGGGTTTCAAACATTTTGTGGAAAATTTAAAAGATAATGGAATTTCCCATGAATTTTTGAGGACCCCTTCTAGTTTTCATTTAACCTGGCTTAAATATAGATTTCCACAACCTTCCTGACTTAAATATTCATTAAAGTCTGAAAAGTCTGCTTGAGACTTAAGGTTCTATATATCCTTTACTCATAATTTTGGTAGATCCAAAAGTGTAAGACTATTATTTAAAATAATTTCTAAGTAAATAGTGTAGTTTAAGGAGTTAATGCCATCTTGTGACATAAAGAGAAATACATAAAAGTTAACATTTTAACATTGCTTTGCAACATTCTTAGTATTTGTCTGTTTTATCTCTGGTAGCGTAATGGTTACGAATCGGAACTGCGAACCTTAAGGTCAGCATTTCGAAACTACCAGCTGCTCTGCGGGAGAAAGATGAGGCTTTCTGCTTCCGTAAAGATTTACAGCATTGGAAACCCTATACAGGTCGCTATGAGTCGGAAGTGACTGCACAGCACAGAACAACAACTGGTATACTGTTGACCCAAAGTTTTTTTTTTTTTTAGTTTTCCTTGGAAGCTTTAAAAGTTTCTTTCAAGTTTTAGAGGTGTAGGTTTTCAGGAGTTTGGATTCATGTTGCTCATATTAGCAGTTACTTTAGGGTACTGTATCATTTTTATGAAAAATGGCATTCTAATGCTCTGTTGTGATGCTATAGAGTAAACACTGGCCTGCTAACCGCCAAGCTGGCAGTTCAAATCCACCAGTGGCTCCTATGAAATTGTATACAGAGTTGCTATGAGTCAGAAGCGACTCTGTGGCACTGAAACAATAAAACCATGTAAACAAAAACCATGTAGTAAACACAATTTTACCTGAAGTATTACTTCAAAATCATTTTCATATACTCACTTTTTCCATTACTTGGACATATTGCTTATTCATCACTAGAGAAAATAGTTGTCCCAGGTCCATAAGTGGCAATAAACTGTTGGAGCTGTTGTTGGCACTGATTCAGATAGAGATCTCTTTGCTCTAAGTATTCTTCATTATATAATTCAAATGGAAATACTGCATTTGGAGCAACACAAAACAGAGTAGCCCCTAAATGAAGAAGTGACATACAGTGTTAACTATATGGTGAGAAAGACGTGTTTAAGTATAAACATATTTAGCCAAAATTCCTAATAAAAGAAACAACTCCTGCTCCACTCAATGTTTAATTGTCAGTGGGTCAGTTCAGACTCTGACCCTGTATAGGGCTTCTGAAGAGCAGCTGGTGGGTTTGAACTGCTAACTTTGTGGTTCAGTACTTATCCTACAGCTCCACACCAGAACTCCGATCTATTCAATAGAGTATTTTAATAAACTAAAGCTGACTTTTAATTTGAAGCTAATGGGCTCAGTAAATGTGTCAGTACCGATATACCAATGGAAAGATCTGACCTCTAACATTTGTCATCTATTGTGAAGCTGGGAAAGTGGCGTGAGGAGGGTGGTAGAAGTTGGGAGAGGTATTGGATGTTAGGGAAATATCTTTTTACCTGATAAAGGCTAAGTGGGTGATCAAAAGTGAAGACTTAAGTACATTTCTCAGTTATTAAAAACTAGTATTATAGGAATCAAGGTTTTATATTCTATCACTGGCAAACTGAATGAGTATGTAAATATGGGAGACGGGGTACAGTTGATAGAGTAGATGGTTATACTTAACTATCTGTAACCAGTAGCCTCAGACTCTTACTTACATGGTTGCTCCACTCACCATTTTGACTTAATGAGAAGTGAATCTGAAGGGAAACTGCTTTTTCTCAAAACACTCCACATACCTTAGCTGCGCCTTTCTGCTTCTAGAGCATTATTTCTCATGTCCTTGGTAAAAGTACCTTCTTTGATGCTATGCCATCTGGCTTACCTTCCCCTTCCACAGTGAAACCAACAAGCGGCTCTCAGCACCTGGCTCACAATCTTAATTCCTACCATTCAGGGAATACCATGTTAAGGACCCATTGGACTGGCCCCCAGTGTCCTGCCTGGTCTTTTCTACTTAAGTCCAACATTGCCACAGTCATGAGACTGACATCACCAGAAACCATAGCCTCATAACTTCAAATGTCTCACTTCTCTACTACACCTATCCTAACTCTCATTTGCCAGGTCAGAGACCAATCTGCTCCCCTGAATTCACTTTGCTCTTTAATTGTTCAGCTCCTGCAAATCTTTCTACTACTTTCCTCTCTACATTCTGCCACACCTAATATAACCTCAACCCTGTATGAACCTGGCCAATCACTGCCTGCAACCAGACTGCTAGGCAGAAAAGCACACAGTCGACATGTATTGGTTTCATTTTCAATGAATCTAAATCAGTTATCTTCAGATAAGCACTCCTGCCTTGTGGGTCTGCTAAATTTTTCTAGTAAGCTTGTTATATCCCTACAATAACATTTCAGTCTCAACTCAAATCTAATTTTTAGGTGATGCTCCTTACCATTACTTAAGCAAATCTGCAAATCTATCTTGCTCTGTATCCATTTTATTCCCTCCTGTAGTGTCCTGGTGTGGCACTGTAGGGTAATCCCTGGGCTATAAATCACAAGGTTTGTGGTTCAAATACACATTCCTTGGAAATAACATCAAATACCATTCCTTGGAAAACCCTATACAGGTTCACTCAGCAGGAACCAATTCAATGGCACTTAACAATAAAGTGAATACCCTTTTCATAGGTTCTCTGGGCCCCCCATCACTGTCTTTATTTTTAATTGCTTCACTCCTTTTATTCTTCCCTTTTCTATTGTATCACTAGGTTCCTTACTACACATAATGCTTTAGTGTCTTAAGTCTTTAAAGAAAAAATTGGGGCCATACATCAAGGAGCCCTGGTGGCACTGTGTATCAGGCATTTGACTGCTAACCACAAGGTTGGCTGTTCAAACCCATCTGGTGCTCTTTGGGACAATGATGAGATTATTCCCATAAAGATTTTTAAGGTCATTCTGAGTTAGAATCAACTTAATGTAATGAGTTCAGCTCTTTGTGAACCATACATCTTCCTCCAGTTAATACCTCATTTTCCCCCTCATCTTCATAGTCATACAGCAAAAGGTCAATCAACATATGCTGTCTCCATATCCTTTTCACCCACTGTCCCCACCCCCATTAAGCCATTGTTAACAGCCACTGTGTCTTGGGGGCCTTCCTGTTTTCCCTGACCTCCCGCTACCACTCCATTGAAATTCCACTGATACTGTTAAGTGCTATCAAGTGTGTTCAAACTTACAGTGACCCTACAGCAGCAGTCTAGTCAGCGGCACACCAGACACTCCTGGTCATGGCTGCCTACAGTCTGTTGCTAAATCTAGTTTCACACTCAGCACATGACTGCTTCCTTCTTGAAACTTGTTTCTATAACATCACACTCTTGATTTTCTTCTTACATCCCAGCTGTTTGCTTCTTAGTCTTTGTTGGTTCTTTCTCAACCCCATTCCTAAATATTGAATTCCTTAAGACATTCCTGGAGTTCCCAATATAATCTCAGTGAATTTAGACATTCCCCATGGAATGAAATCCATTCCATACTGATTACTCAATTATATTTCTAGGTCAGAACTCCTCTTATATTCCAAGTTCTTGTATCTGTCCATTCCTCATAGTGACCCTGTGTATTACAGAAGGAAAGGCTGCCCATTCACATTTGTTGCTATGTCTGAGCCATTGTTGCAGCCCCAGCATCCATCTATAACATTAAAAATCTTCTTCACTTTTGCTGACCCTCTGTTTTGCTAAGCATGATGTCCTTCTCCAGGTCTCTCCTGATAATAATATGCTCAAAGTACTTGAGATGAAATCTCTCATCTTTGCTCATAAGGAATTCTGGCTGTACTTCCAAGAAAAAATGTGTTAATTTTTCTGGCAGTCTATTGTCCAGTCCCATTAAGTTGGTACTGACTCATAGCAACTCTATACACAACAGAGCAAAACAGTGTCTGGTCCTGCACCAACCTTAACAATCATTGCTACATTTGAGCGCATTGCTGCTGCCACTGTGCCAGTCCTTGTAGTTGGGGATCTTTTTCTTCAATCCGTCGCTTTACCAAACAAGATACCCTTCTTCAAGGACTAGCCCCTCCTGACAATATGTCCCAAGTATGAGAGACGAAGTCTGGCCATCCCAGCTTTCAAGGAGCATTCTGGTTGTACGTCTACCAACACAGCGCAGTCCATTATACATGCAGTACTCTGCCAGTACCAAAATTCAAAGACCTCAGTTCTTTAGTCTTCCTTATTATCTCACATTCAGATGCATATGTTGTTGTTTTTGAGTGCTTTGGGTTCAGACTTACAGGACCTTCTGTAGTGTTTCTGAGGAGCACCTGGTGGGTTTGAACTGCCCACTTTGTGGTTCATACTGACCTTGCAGTCAAGTGCACTGTCCTACAGCTCCTCACCAAGCATATAAGGCAACTGAAAATACCAGGTTATTAACGAGTCTTACTCCAATTCTGATTTTCATATAATTCAACTTCTAGAGGCTGTATTTCTGTGGATGTCTCACATTATGATCCACAACGTGATTTTTCTCCCAAACCACGAAAATAGGAAAATCAAACCCACTGCCATTGAGTTAATTCTTACTAATAGTGATCCCAGAGTCCTGGTGTGGTGCTATAGGATAAGCACTGGACTACAAGGTCAGCAGTTCAAACTCACTAGTCACTCCTTGGAAACAATATCCAGGGTTGCTATCAGTCGGAACCTATGTGATGGTATTTAACAACAATAAATAATGCCCCTGTATCAGACTTCTCCTTAGGACTTTCAAGACTAAATCTTTATGGGAGCAATCATCTTCCTCTTGCAGAGCGAGTGATGGGTTTGAATTGCTGACCTTGCAGTTAGCAGCCCAGTGCTTAGCCCATAGCCCTACCAGGGCTCCTTTCATTCTAGTTCCAGTAAATAGCACCACCTGAGAATCTATTCATGCTATTACTGATTTCTGCACGCAAGGAATATCTAATGTGCTTGCTAATTTCTCCCTATTTCCATTGCCTCAGTCTAGTAGAAGCTATTATTATCAATTGCTGGGCAGCAATTTTTTTACCTTGTTTTTTTTCCCCTTTCCTTTTTATCCTTTCTACCCCATTCTCCATATCAACTCTTGTTAGGCACCATCTGTTAGGTACAGAGTCATAGCAACCCTATGCGTAACAATGAAACACTACTCCACTCTGCACCATCATTACAGTCACCATGGTTAAGCCCATTGTTCAGTCACTGTGGCAATACACCTCGTTGGGATCTTATTCTTTTTCACAGACCTTCCACTTCACCAAGCATGATGTCCCCTCCTGATGTACAGAGTATGTGAGACCAAGTCACCGACCTCACTTCTAAGGAGTATTCACTTCTAAGACAGATTTGTTGTTTTTTTGGCAGACCTAGGTACTGTCAATATTCATCACCAACACTATCATTCAAATCCATCAGTTCTCTAGTCTTCCTTATTCATTGTCCAGTTTCCACGTGCATACGAGGTAACTGAAAACACCTCATATTTGGGGTATTTTGGGGAGGTCAAAGGGACATCTTTGGTCTTGAACATTTAAAAAAGGTCATTTGTGGCAGATGGATTTCTTGATTGTTGCTTTCAATAGAAGTGATTGTGGATCCAAGTAAAATGAAATCCTTGATAACTTCAGTTTTTTTCTCCATTTATCATGATGTTCTTAACTGGTTCAATTGTGAGGATTTTTGTTTTTTTTACATTGATGTGTAATCCAATAAGTACTCTAAGTCCTCTTCACTTCCAATAAACAAAATTGTGTCATTTGCATACTGTAAGTTGTTAAATGTCTTTCTCCAACCCTGATGCCATGTTCTTCATACAGTTCAGCTTCTCAGATGATTTGCTCAGCATACAGATTGAATAGTATGATGAAAGGATACAACTCTGATGCAAACATTTCCTGATTTTAAACTGTGTAGGAGTAACCCCTTGTTCTGTCCAAATAACTGCCTCTTGGTGCGTGTACAGGTTCCTCATGAGCACAATTAAGTGTTCTGGAATTCCCATTCTTTGAAAGGTTATCCATAGTTTGTTATGTTCCACACAGTTGAATGCCTTTGCATAGT